CCCCAAAACCCCAAAACCCCAAAACCCCTTCTACCAATATTCGAGTTGACTAATATATCTGAATGTTATAGGCTAAGCCAGACCTTCAAGAAGGATACAGGCTTATTCTGTGTAAGAAATCTTATCTGAATTCTTTTTACTCATTTCAGGACATGTCTTTGTGCTTCGAAATGCTATATCCATATTTTAGAGATGAAATGACAGGTTGCTGGCTGAAAAGTTATGGGAAATTTAGGAATAGTCTTACCTAGAGGACGGTCAGGACACTCCCTGAGTTTAGCAAGAGTCTTCATTTCAGATGTCTGCTGCAGTCTTTTTAAGTCAAACATGTTGTATTTTTGTACCATTTTATTAGGACCTACAGTTATGAATAAAAATTACCTCTGATGCTTCAGATTCTTCTCCTCACATTTTGAATCAGACTTTTCTTGAACGGATTCTGCTCTCGCCTGTACAGCCGCTTCAAGTTCTCGTAAGTGGTTTCGCCAGTGGCCACCAGCCAGTAGTGGTACAATGTCAGACCCACAGGGAAAGCGCCCACACATACGTTGTACACAGCCACTACCATGCTTGGAATGTTTTGAGCAATACCAGAGGTAAGTAGCATGGCCACACTGACAGTAAGGCTCAGCACAAACATGGCTGAGAGTAGAGAGATGAAAGCGAGGAAGTAAGCATAATTACGTTTACCGATACAGCAGCTGAGCCAAGGACAATGGTGGTCAAACAGTTCAACTCAGTTTCCACAATAATAACAATGATGAGATCTTGGGGGCGCTATAAGCACTCAAGTATGTCAGTGGATTTGTTTCATCAATATTCCCATATATTTCATTCTAAATGCATAATTTCCAGGTCTCAATTCTGTTATCGCACATACATGAGATGTGTCCTGTTCCATTTTCTGTATAATTCCTGGATTTGAAGTGGCAGTTTTTCACATATAGATCATCGACATAAGATGCACAACAATGGAAATCATCAAAACTACCAATAGCAAAGTGATGTCTTGGATTTTTGGAATGACAAATCAGTAATAGATGATCATTGAAAAGTTTGTTAAACAAAAAGTCATCAGGGTCGCTAAGGGCCTAGGGCCAGTAATATACCTGCCTCTGCACCAGAGTTTACTTTTGCCTTCATAGAACTGATACCTTTTAAATTCTGGCATCTTTCAGACAACATTTGTGTCATTTTTCAGGCCATCACCAGTTTGCTCATACAATCCTTTTCTTGTATCCTTTAGTTCTTTGTCCGGATCAATTTGAATTAAAATCTTGTCTCTGAACTCATTATGAATCTTCTCAGTGTCATGCTTCGACCGGGTTTTATAATCTATATCGTTTTAAGTTTCCTCTGAACATAAGAAGTACCATTTTCTCCGAATGATCTGTAACTTACCAGAAGGAGTCCTAGAGTGATTCTGGGTTATAATCCCATTACTCTCTCTATCAGAGTCAACCACAACTTTTTCAAATGTTTCTGAGTCGCTTTGTTCGCTGGCTATTTTCATAAAATATGTTCAATTTTTCTAAAAATTAAGGGGTTTTGGGGTTTTGGGGTTTTGGGG